TACATACACACCATTATACATAGAAGATAAAGGTAAAGTTTTCCTATATAACGTGCGAACATTTTCACATCAGATGGGGAAACCTGTATCGGATTGTGTGAAGGTTTCTAAGAGGGGTTAGGGTTAACCTTAGCTTTGAAAAGTAACCCAGACAGCGATACTTTGTCGTACGATAGCATCTCTCTATTCGTTTGCTTTATATTCGCTTGTTTCCTAATACAAGAGGGTCTAAACACATTCAAGTAGCGCTACACATAGGTGCAGCTATGGTTTTGTTAAGTCAGATTTGATTAAATGTAGCGTGCTGACCAATTGTGGACTAATTGATCAGGCCATTGAATGCTCCTTTATTTATCAGCTGGCCTTGTTACTTAACGTTGCCTTCGGAAAGAGCAAAGAATAAAACGCCAGTTAGTAGTCTAAACATTTCTACCGAACTCGTAAGCGAAGTCTTAGTAATAAGAGTGAGAGACAACGTATATTAACTTGAAGTTTAATGCATCTGCACAGTTTCCTTTAAGAGAAAACGGCGAATTGGACGTGCACTGTCGAATACGTGCTTCATAAAAATAGTATTTCGTTACTAAAAATCCCCACAGTTCTTTAGACAGTGACAGAGAGCTGGAGTCTCTCTATTTAGATGGCACTGGTTTGCAAACGTATTTCAACAAGGTTCAAATCAAGGAGCTAAAAACCCGTTTAAATCAGTAAGGCCATGAAGTGAATATCTGGGTTATGTATTATTCCTACGGATCGATGGAACGGAATAATCTCAGTGGCTAAACTGGAACCGTCTTAATTATCAATTCAATAAGCTATTTATTCTTCTCGGGTATCCCATATATTTACATTTATTATTTTTTATCCTGGATATTTAGTTGAATTATAGACATTTAGGGTACAAGCCGCCAATATGCGTCGATGCCTTCAGTGATACTGAGACTTTGAAGTAGGAAAGCCAATGGTCGCCTTATCTACTTTGCGATGTTTTTGCGATGGTATGAAGCCAATTGGAATCAACGATTTTATTCTATATGTACACATACACTTTCGAATGTGGCTCTTGGCTATTCTATTCTAGAATAGGCTAAGATCACCGAAACGCGCGATATCGAAAGAAAAAAAGGGTGACATAAAATGAACTATTATGTAATAGGACTAGAAACTACTCGACATTTCAGTAGGCTAAATTTGTACTAGGAAGCATTCTAGAGATAATGACAAAGGGAAGATGTGTTGTTTATACCTCTACAAAAAAAGGTCTTCCAGTTAATTTAGCGCAGTCTTTAGAAACGGCAAACTATTAATGCCGTATGTTGTTTTCGTCATCCATGACTAGTCATCTTTACATACTCCGTGGCCATTATACTTACGTCATCATATTCAACTCTCGGTGAAGCCACTGTGAAGATCGCAATAACTTGAAGCATAGCTGATGATTGAAGTACTAAAGTTTCAGCCCACATTTCGGTACTCTGCAAAGGAACCATTGCCGCATACGTATGATTCAGTATAATTTACCAACTTACAGCGTTACATAACCAGTTACGTGTTGATAGTGTCTTTGGTACTAAACGTCGTCAATTGTGCCACCGCCATCGTTCATGACGGCTCATTCATGGGCGTCGATTTCTAGGTAATTCGTTTTCTTTCTTGCGGTTCAGATCTACGATGCTGGAAAATGTTTATGCTGTTTCTGTACGACAGGTACCCGTAGAAGCAATAAACGAACGTTCATGAAGCCCAGCCACTCTTCAGACTTCTCTGCTGCGTCCTAATGACTGCTCGTCTTAATGCGTTACCCCATCGCCTCCGAACTCCTACACCTAGGTCGAGGTCTGCTTGTCGCCTAACATCAAAGGCGCTCTTGTTTGGAAAATCACTCATGCAAGGCGTAAAATATTGCGGTGTCTTTTTGTGTCTCTTGCTGGCCAGGTGCTGTGTATCCGTTCGCCTGTCTGCAACTTTAGATCTGACTGTGGACGGTGGGAGGGAGCCTCTAGTGCGTACATTCATCTGTAAGCGTCTTTCTGTATAAATGTGTCGGTGTAGATGTTCGTATAGGCCTTCCGATTCGACGTGCAGATTAACGCTCCGCTCGAGCAGCTTTAGCGCTCCCCAGCAGTATATGTAGGGCTTTGGCCGCGACGAATGCGCTAAGGAGCAGCAGTCAGGTTTATAGCGGGTAGTGAATGGTAGATGGCTGTTAACGTCGCGGAGCGTCACATTGCTTGCTCAGATTGAGTCTTTCGGGAATCCGTTTTACACTTAAAGAAAAAATCTAAGGAATCCTTGAAAAGGACCAAGGGAAAGAGCCGCTGCATGTCTGCCTTAGCCGGCCGAACGCCTTCCATTCTTCCCGACCCTTCCCTGGACGACCCGCAGACCTGTGTCATTGGTACTACTCCGGAAGTTACGATACCTTCGTGGCGCTACAATCCTTAGTACTTTTCCGTACCTCCCGATGTTTCTTGGACGCCCGCCTCTCCCTTCTGTGACGGGATGGACGGTTTTGCTCTTCTTCTAGACGCCGACTGGCCGTTCAAACCGGTCAGCATCTACGATCTTTTACGTCAACCGGCCCGGTAGACAGCATTCAGCAACCACCGTGATCCCGCAAACAGAGGATTTAAGCAGCGTCGCTACAACTGCTGATGTCCCGGCTCTTCCAAAACAACGTTCTGCGCGACGATCGCTCTCTACTGAAATGCCGCTCGACTCGCTTGTCAACAACCTCAATAATTTCAAAGCAAAATGTCGTTAGCTGGCAACGACGACAATCCAACTACTGATGCCGCCACTGGCGCTGTTAAGGCTGCGTCGAAACCCCCGACAAGGAGAGGGAGTTTGACAGTGTGAGGGGGGGGGGGGGAGTCGAAAGCAATATAATTAAAGAAGGACTAGGTATATATTTGAAAGAATACACAGAGAGGACACAGAGAAATTCTACTGTGACACCGTACCGTAGATCTGCTGACAGAGGTCCCATTGAAGCATAAGTTGCATACAGTGGTAATAATGGTAGGCCAACAAATTGATGAGCCAGTAGCAGCAAGCAGGCCAGACCGGACCCATAAATCTACCGATCGTTTTGTACAAATGTTGCCGTAATAGCGAGCCACAGTCTTCTGTTACTCTTTTATTTGCTCAGATTACTTCTCCTCTGCTTTTTTCAATCTCGTTTTTCGTAGTTCTGCATCATAACACCGATTGATTCAGACAAGCTTGGCTGTTTACGGCCATTCCTGACGTGCCATACTGGTTGCTATTTCTCTTGTGGGCAATAGGAAAAATATTACCATATAGTGCGCCTACCAAATAGGTGGGAAGAACGGCTGGTAGTAGTAGTAGATGGTGCGAAGCTCGGTATCATAATAACAAATATCAATGTGAGTGTGCCTGCTGCACTAATACCGATCGCAGACGTCCCCCAAATATAATATACTTCTATGTTGTTGGCCATTTTAAGCTAATCCCTCCGCTGGATGTGCAACCTGAAGTGACTTTGCCTGTTGTAAAATCTCGAATTGTCCTTTTCGATTTATAACGTTTGCACATCATTAAACATGGACACAACAGATATAGATCATTTAAGACCTAATGGTTGACCACACACCTTCACTCAACACTTACGCCTTACTAACCATCGCCCTGTGGCGGCATTCCTGCTGATTCCTCTTACGACTAGAGAGAAAATTAAGGAACAGCTGGTCACCGATCTGTTTACTATACTCAGGCGCTAAGCTCGTCGAGAGCACGAGAATGAGTACCATTGTCTTTAGTCGTATGTCCAGAATTGCTCTAGCATCAAACTATTGACTTAAAACACGTAAAAACGTGTCTGTTCCATAATTCGAAGCCGAGATTCATATGCCCTAACCTCAAATGGCAGATAGGTTGCTACTATATTTCTACTGAAATGTTTTAGACCCAGGTACTACTACGCTCTGTACTGCTACTAGTGATGCTTGATTGGGGTCCGCTTTTATTGGTTTGAAGCTCTTTACTGTATGGCCTGGGAGAAGTCTTCTGAGTGGCGGTCTTCCACCTACCCGTCACTGCTTACCATGTCTGGTCTGATGACGCTTCTCATACTTTAGGCGCATCGCCCCGTCTGCTCTGCGACTAACTGAGTAGCTGGTCGGTTGGCTTGCAGTTCCATCACTGCTCGCCGTTGCTTTCTACCACCGCATTGTTGCTGCTCGTTCCCTTGCAGATTCCGTTAGTCCGTTCAACTCGAATCCACTAGCAACTATCTGGCTACCCGCCAGTCAGCCAGCTGGCCTGCCAACGAGCAATTCAAGGCAGTCAGGGAACCCAACGAGGAGGGTGAAGAAGAGGAGTGGGCGACGAGAGTGCAGCGAAGGGAGCCCGACGGAGGAGGAGGGAGATAGACATTAAGCGTTAACTCGAAGTAAAGCGGGTCCCATTGCTGCTACCGCTGCTGTCCCCTGTTTGGTAGCGCAGGAAGACAGGCAGGGAGCCAAACAGGAAGGCAGGCAAGCAGCTTGCTCGCCCGCTCGCTCGCTCACTCGTCGGTGGGCCAGCTACAGAACAAAGCATTAGCGGCAACGGCCGTAGTGCATCGTATAGTAAAAGCGCCGGCACTGGTAGTAGTGGGATGGCGGGCTAAGTAGGGCTGGGCTGGGCTGGGCTGGGCTGAGCTGCTTGGCTGAACATTGTAGAGTTGCTTTTGTGCGAGTTCCGTACAGCTTGCTCTGGGCTGGGCTGTTGTAGCCTGTGCTAGGCCAGAGGGCTGTATGGCTGGGCAGGGTTCGGCTGTGTTAGCCGCTGGGTGTGCTGCTTCGCTGTCTGTGTCCCTGGCCTTTGCCTATGTCTGTATGTATGTGCCCGTGCTGCTCGGTGACCCTCACCCTCAACGCAGCGAAACTCGACCCAGACCGGGGGACCAAGTGGCGACCGAGAGACCCTCTCCCCCCTCACTCGGTTGAGAGGGAGGGAGCTCGACTCGCGCCAAGCGAACCACGACAGCGACTTGTTGGAATGGCTAAACCTCGCCTCGGGTTCGGGTGCCAGGAAAGCTTTGACTCCAGCATCTACCACCAACGCGAGCGTCGACAAAACGAGCAGCTGGCCTGGCCAACCAAAGTCTGCCACAACGTAAACAACTGGAGCTGCTGTAGTAGAAGCAGAAAAATACTTTCATAACAAGAAAATTAAACAAACCTGGCTATCACAGGTACTGCAGTAGCAAAAAGTAAGTTCCCGTAAGGCAACAACAGTATACATAGCAAAAGGTTAATCCATTAAAGAAGAAACAGACGAAGAGGAAGAAGAAGAAAAGTGGCAGGAAAAAACGCACTGGCATTTAGTTACCCAGGCTATTACCAAATTAACAGTTTACTTATTATAGTAGTAGTCAGCTAGAATCATTGCATGACCAAACAGCGACAACGAAATGCATCTGACAACCTTTTCTTTACGGTTCCTACGGTCAACCGCAACCCGTTCCAGCGATTCGGGGAAGAACGACTCAGTAAGAGAGGTCGTCTGTGTGTGTGTGCAGGTGCGAATGTGAACACCAGTCTATTGTTCGTGTCGATTAGAAGCATTACACTCTAGCTGCGACCCAGATAAAAGCATCACTTCGACCCACAAGCACTATTATGGGTCTTACACAACAACAACAACAATAAAGGATACAGTTTTTCTTGTACCTAACTGAAAATTTTTCGTACCGAATGCGATAAACCGGCAAGAACTCTGAACATCGTAGCCGTTCAACTTCCACCGATGGTCAGTGGACAACTTCTGACAACATCCTGTAACAGCATTATAATACTGCGTGCTACAACCACAGCTGAAAATACGACTGCTCCAATCGCCATAACAACTGCAAGGAGTTTGTCTACTAGAAGAAAAAAACGTGGTTTCATAGTGTCTGTTGTCTTCTCCCGTGTGTGATCAAGGATTACGTGCGGTGTTCACCACAAACATACATTCGACAACAGATTTTACTGTTGTGCCAAATGAAACAATACGGGTACTTAGGTATCTGCAAGGTGGGGGTGTCGCCGCCGCCGCCGCACCTGCTGCTGCTGCTGCTGCTGTTATTGCTGCCGCTAATGTTCAGCAGGATGGGTGCCCGCTGCGTGAACTGAACTACGTGCAGTAAAGTAGACGAAGGCCTTCGGCCGTTGTCTTGTCGGCAGCATTGTCTGAAGGGCCAGCGCGGCCTTAGTGCCTAGTATATATTCCGCTATAACATATATTTCAGTGGATCGATCGTTATCGCCACAACGGCAAAACTAATAATAACGGCAGTAGAAACAGATATGCTGCCAGCCCCGTTGTCAAGAACGGCTCAACTACGTGAACTGAGTGGGGCGCAAAAAAACGGGACATGTCGGAGGAATTAAGATATATCCCGGCGCCGTTCTGCCGCTAAGGAGGCCATTAAGAGAACGTGAAAAGCGACGGTGTTAGCAGTATCGTAACTACTGAATGAGGCCATACCACAAAGAGTTCGTCCCTTCCTGCGGAACATTTGCCTCGAACGCGTTTATTGAATCTAAACAAGAAGCAACACACATTACAGACAGATTTACACCATCGTAAGTATGAGAACATAAAAATAAGCCTCAAATTATTCTGGTTGATGTTCGCTGTTATTTTAAGAGCCACATTAGTTTTCGGAACGTCTTGTTTAATCCACGGCCAAAAATACAAGCACGTTTTGGACTTCATTAGATCGATGCGGAATATCGCTGCAAAAATGGAATAACAACGATTAGGACCGCGGCAGATGTGGCTAAAGTCAAGGCAAAAAGTCCTCAATGGAGTTTTCTAACGCGTGCCAAAAACGACCTGTTGATCAGGTCTGGAATCTTGCATACCTCGTTTGTCTGTCTGTGTGTTAAGTGTTGTCTACTATTAGGCAAACGTCAGCATTCACAAAGAGGCAAGATGAACTAGGTTTAATTACTAAGGTAGCAAGAATCAAACGGGAAACGAATAAACCGTTACCCTCGTCATCTTTTACGGTCCGAAGAATTTTCCGCAGAAAAGAAAGAATTTATCTCAGTTCAAGTCGTTGGCGAGGGCGGTGTTATCATCTTGGCTTCTTTAGTTATCCACTACTTAGACCCACTACCAGCGTAGTCTTTGACTCCGTCCGCTTCCGCCGCCATCGTCACCGCCGCATGTAGTCTGCCCATCTGTACCCCCACCAACTGTACGACTTCTCAAGAGCCTTGGACCGAAGTCAGAATCTCCATCAAATCCGACCGGCAGTGGGGTGACCGTATAGGGTTTGAACATCAGGACGAGGTATCAGCCAACGAGGAGTTGCCCTAGAAGCCTAGCTAAATCCGGTCAGTTGAGAAGAGTCGACCAATCGAAAAGCCAAGAAGACGGCCCCGTATCGCTGCGAACAACAACACCAGTCAGCCGCTGCATTCACAGTACATTAGCTGGCTGTGTCACTCAGCCAGTTCTTTACGCTTGCCTGCTGTTCCTGTTGGCCTCTGGAACAGGAGCAGCAACAGAGGACGGACTTGCATCACCCGCTAACAGCCACTGGATAGTACCCGTTGCTTATCGAGGAGGCCTTTCTGTTTAGCGGCGGCAAGGGAGGCCTTGCTCTATCAGCGCTGTGGCCGCGTGTCGGCCAGCGGTTGGCACCAGCAACTGCAGCAGCGGGAGGGAAGGAGGAAAGGGCTGTGAAAACATTATTGTTGCAGAAGCAACGACCTCACGGGCTGCCGTGGCCGTCACACAGCAAGTCAAGCAAATGCCTCTCTGGTGTGACATGATCACAGGGGCCAACTCACTGCCGTGTTTCCGCCTTCTAGCTCCCCCCATTAGAATTGTAACTGCTGCCCGTCTCGCGGTAGCCTGAGATGGCACTTCGTCATTGCAGGCCCGCGGCGATCGTCGGTACGTATTGCTGCCTTCCCATCTCAGCTGCGGCCACTGCTGAAGTCAGACGAGCGTCGCCGACCACTGCAACTCCAAACCGACCAACAACCGACGGCAAGTGCAAGCGACTACACCGCCACTAAAAAGTAGACGAAGACTCTCCCGTAGTCTGTCTATGTTCGGTGCTGTGCTGAAGCTGTCGTTATAGCTATAATAGTAACGTGCCGAACGACTACCGAACAGGCAGCACTCGCCCAGCTTCTGCTAGCATTGCCGTTGCCGCTATTGGTACAGGCGCGCTATTACTGCCGCCGCCACTGCCACCGCCGCCCATGAAACCTCAACTTGATGTCCTCAGCACGGACTTATCAGAAAGGCAATATTGAGAACGGCAACGACGACGACGAGAAGACCAGCCGTCGAAAACTTTGCCTGTTCTGCTTTACCCATTGCTGCTGCTGCTGCCGTCACTACCACGGTGGCACCAGCTGCAAGCAGCCTTTTGCCGCGCTTTTGCGGCCCCAACGCCATAACCCCATCCTTCTTTCTCCGATCCCCCAACTCAGAACTCTTCAAAAAAGCTGTGCCACTTCTGCAGACTCTAAAGGTCCTACGACTACTACAACGATCCTGACGAAACGAACAAGAAGCATCGACAGGGAGTGCTGTCACAGCAGCACTAGGAGTATTCCTCCCCCCCCCCCAACCACCCACCACCACCACGTGCTCGATCGGCCGTGGGTACGAACATCAACTTACGACCCAGAGCTAGAAAAAGTAGCAGCGGTAAAATCAAGGTTTACTACCGTCAACTGTGTAGCCACTTCAAGTCCCCTGACTGCAGTTATTATTACGACTCGTGCTGCTTCATCTACCACGTACTCGATCAGTACCGCCGTCGTTGCGCAGAATCTTACAACGACTATTGCAGGTTGACGTCATACTCAACGTCCGGACACAACAACGTCAGTCAGTCGACACTTCACGTATTGCTACGGCAGGTGTAGCAGAAAATGTTCCTTAGCTTTTCGCCGTTTCAGTAATACCCGCAAGGGTAGCAGTCGTGTTTACAACAGCGATTCAAACGGTTCGCTTAAACGGAGTTTTCCTACCTTCAACTAGCCGTCGTTCATATTGTCTACCCGAACTGCAAGCGATCAACCTGACTCTTGCGGCGGTGGGGGCGGTGGCGGTGGCGGCGGCGTAATGTGAGCATGAACGTGGTGAGAAACGTTCTACGGTAGTCGCTCAAAATGAGAGAATAAGAGGACTCGCGAGAAAGAGAGAAGGAGAAAGGGAGATAAAGGGAGAGCGAAAAGGAGTAGAAGGGAGGGGAGAAGAGGTCACCTCTGCGGCTGACGTGACTGGGTTGGCAACCCATTCGCCAGCCCAACTGCTCGGCTACTGCCCGATCCACTGTCCGGTCACTAGCAGCAGCTGTGGCGGCCGTGCCCACTGCAAGCCTAGGAAACCCAGCAAAACTGCTCACCGAAGTTGTCGATCTAAGCTGGTTATCGAGACGAAGTATTTCAAAAAGTCATTTAAAAAGTATTAGCCGAAGCTTCAAATCGGAACTGACTGACTTACTAGTGGTAAAGAGTGTGGTAAAGAGTAAAAAGTGGAGAAAGGGTCAATCAGAGCTGTGAGTAAGCTGGCCAGACAACTAGCCAGCAGTCTATCTCGTCAAGGGAAACGTAGCCAGCGGGCTTTGTCTCTACTAAGTATTCAAGGGCTGCAGAAGCCAAGAGCAAATTGAAACGATCGGAGAGGCGAAGGTTGGATAATCGGTTCGTTCTGCAGTTCAATACGGCAAAGAAATCGCAGCTACCACAGTTGGCTTGAGGTTGCGGCATGATTTGCTTAGCGGCGAAAGTGCGAGCAACCGCCTCTTTGTCAAGCTGCTACTTCAACAGTGGTCTCCAACAGCTCTCCCCTCCTCATCTGGCTCCTAAGCGAAACTAAAGTTCCTCCGAAGGTTGTCAGACGATTTTAGAACACAACACAAGCACACATAGCATGTCTATAGACAGTGGCTGGCCGATCGCGGTTCCAATAGTTCTGCTGCGATAAAGACATCAAGGCCAACGCCTGCGCTCCGGTCTTTGAACTGATAGCGCCGAAATTTCCAATATGCTACGCTTTCCGACCGATAGGAGCCGTTGACCGCTGTCAGCAGAACAGTTATAGGAACAGGTCACCTGTGAGTGCTGCCTCCGTTACTAATACGACTACAGCAGAATTCTCTCTTTTCCAGTTCTGTCTGACTCTGTCGGTAACGCGGTTCTAAAGCTAATTTCAAGGGAGGACGCTTAAAAAAAAGGAGAACTTGCCTCCACGATCTCCTTCTGTCGGCGCTTGTCTGCCGCCCTCTGACTATCTCAATCAGCTTCCGTTAAGCCACTTAAATTTATATTATGTTTCTGCTCAATATGTCTTACTCGCTATCTGCAATCCGCGATCTGCTAATACTATTGCCCTCCTGTGTCTTCTACTATTTTGTTTTTGCATGTGTGCGTCGCGTGCTCGTGCGTCTACATTAATTACATTATCGGGTCTGGATTACGCGTGACGTACACGAGCTTGCAGCGTTTCAGCTGATGGGCAACGAATCCAGAAAAGACCGGATCGTTGTCGATTGGTCGACGATCTCCTCCCCTCAGTTATAGCAGTATTTGGGAAGGAGAAAGGAGAAGGACATCAAACGAATAGTTAACCTCTTCGACTGACATTGCCTGCAAAAAAATTCATCTTGGCGACCTGAAAAGAAAGAAGCAAAACCGATTATCCTTTCTTATCCTTTGCAATTTCGGTCGATTCGTCGATTATTGGTTACCAACTAAAAATAAAAGAGAAAAGACAGTGGCCGCGGCGACGGCGACGGCGACCGGCTACAGAACCAGTGTAATACAATAGAAGGGATTCGCTGACATAAGTCATACAAGTGAAATTTAATAAGAATGTCATTGCCTCGGACGTCCTCAGAAGCGTTACCGAGTCACTGAAATGTAGTAAGGATAATATCAGAAGTAACATATATAATAATAATAACACTAAGAATAATAAATAAAATAGAACAACCTCGATAGAGGCGACGGATAGAGAAACAGCAAAACTCTTAGTACGACGACAAGTCGAAACACGCAGGCAAAATGCCGCGCTCTTTTCTTGTCAAGAAGATGAAGTATGACCCTGAATTGCACAGCGATAGGCCGCGCTGGTCTCTCGAGGAAGAGGCACCGTCAAGTCCTTCCGAGGCGGAGACCGCTCCGGCAGGAACCCACCAAGGGGGGGGGGGGCATATCCATGCAGCAGTATCGCACCCATCGGCCGCAGCGTCTGTTCCCGCAGCTACCGGCACTAGCGCGGCCACTGCCCACCATTACCACCATAACACCATAAACACGATTGCCAGCAACAATAATATAAATAGTACGAACGGCAACAACAACAATCCTGCATCGTCCTATTTCTACTCATCACAACTCGAAAAGCTTGCAGGTAAGTTGATATAAAATTGTTTAATATAAAATAAAAATTAAGATAGACGAGATGTCATGACGAAATCAAATATAATAATAAATGATCATTGTTGACGCATTTTTAGCATCGAGTGGAGAATTGTTTTCCAAAGTGTTTTACTTCTTTAAAGGCGTCATTATTGACGACCGGAAAGGCCGGAAGCTAAACGGTGGCCTACGAAATATTCCTTGAGGAAAAAGATGATTTCCCTTATGGCTATGCAGAGAATTTGATTAGCGATCTTCTTACAGGATATAGGGAGTCGCTACTGTCAATTGTGTGCGCGTTTTATGTCACGATATTCTAAAATGATGGACATCGTGACGAGTATTGCATCGACGAAACTGTGCCCTTACTCTTGCTAAAATAATATTTTTTTTTAAGACCCAAGGTTAAACAGAATGTAAAATAAAGCAAAGGTCGCCGACAGTCCAAAGGAAGCTATCTAAACCTTTCAAGATGTATTACTTGTTGTTTTTTTCGATCTTTTTTTTTTTTTTTACTGCTAATCACTCTCTTGCTGTTTTCAACGGATGCAAAGTCCCAAATTGTCGAGTGATTCTTGCCCCACCCTGACTAACAGGCTTCCAAGTTGGTGGTAGTAAGCCTTCCTCTCAGAAACGATTTTTATGCATAATATTTGTCACGTTTTTATTTGACCACGAACACAAGTGGCTATTTTTGACAGCAAGCATCGATACGCTATTCTATATTCACCACCACACGTAGCAAAGATTGGCTATTGTTTTTATCCGTACTGGCCATAATGAATCCTCATTAAACCTGCACCGGCTATAGAACATCATCGCTTATGATCATAAACACGATTTTTTTTTTGCGTACGGATATATTTCAACTTTATCATTATTTCTCATGGCAGTTTACCATCGAGCAATATCAACATCATGCTACCATTGTTGACTACTAGCTTTTACGTTAGCAAATCTTGGATCAAGTGCGTTTCATTCGCCTACTTACAGGTGGAGGTTCGCGCCCACCAATACTAACGATTCTACTATTTCGCGTAGCGTCAGCAGTAAACAGAGCCTTCCGGTATCTCTCTCTCTCTTTGCTTGTTCTTGTTGTTCTACCGCTTAAATCTGTAAATGTTGGTGTCTTTTTGTGCTAATACTTCCAAGCTGAGTTGGTCCGCCGCTCGCTAGGAGCTACCCCCTGAACTCGCAAGGGCTTAGCACGCGTAGGCCTATAGCGGTTATTTATGGCGATGGTGGTCGAGCACCACCAACATCAGCTGGCTAGCGTCCGGCTGGCTAAGCCGCATTCGTTCTTGGCTCTACAAAGTCGACGCTGATATTAGAGGCGGACGCTCCCTCTGTGTACCAACTACTTCCGAGTCCTTTGGCGGTGGCCCTTTCGGGACCGCCGACTGCCGTCCAGGCAACACGCATACTTCAGCTAAGCTCTTTATTAAGCCGCTACAGTTCTTCCGGCTGCTGCATAGGCAGCGGCAAGGCGTGTGCTGCCGTTGTGCCGGCTGACCGCTCGTTCGCTTGCCCGGCCGCTACGTAAGTGGTGTGTACTTAATTAGCTAGTAATTATCCTGCCTAGTATCGTAATATCTTACGAGCAATTTCCTTCGTCCGCCAGCCGGTGCGATAGAGAGTGACCGAAAGAAAAAGGAATCAGAAAAGAGAGTAATAAGTGTGCCAGCAAGCACTGTTTCTCCCTAGCTGAGCTTCTCCCCAGATTCCCCACGTCCCTAGTCAACCGCTCCTTGGTCTGCCACCGCTGGATGCCGTAGAACTGGCGGTCGCACTATCGGATTTGGCCGGCTTTTCTCGACCCGCTGCGATTCAGGCTCATAGGCGTCCAGCCATAGGGTAGTATGTAGGTTTGCGTTCCGTTCTTAGCTCCGTTGCGCGCCCTGGCATCCTACGTTTGCTATAGCCATATGCGGCCTTCTCTCCTCGCGGTCACAAATGATTGTTATTATTACTGTGATCGCAGAGCTCTCTTCGTACCAACATAGCAGATACAAAACTGAGCTCATGTACAGTATATACAGCAGTACCTTTATGGCCGACACAGTACCATGCTGTGGCTCCGTTACGCTTGCCCCGATGATGCCGCTGGGAATTACCAATCACGACCCACGGGTCCGCACGAGCGTCCTGATAAGCAACAAACAGGCCTTTGATAGTCTCTCTTTATACTTTTGGTGCATTCCCTTTCCGCATCGTGTTCCTCGCTCGCCAGCGAGAGACGTGTGTGCTTGCCGCGAAGGCAGCTTCAATAATAGCTTTCAATAATGGCTTCTATCCTTACCCCGCGATTTGGCTATCGAAAAACAAAATACGTCGCAGTAAAGGGAAACGGGCCATTCGACGAGAAAGTTTGACAAGTATACATGTCCGCATGCCCAGAAGCCTATGAATATGTATTACATTTCAAATAAAATGGAAAAACTTTTAGGTAATTAGAAATAACGTGTAAAAGTTCTTGTCGAAACGAAAACCGGGACAAGTTAGATGAAGGCAGTTGGGCGTAAACTTAAACCTTACCTATTAAGATTTAATGTCATAATGCAATGACTTCCTTGTCATTGACTAAACAAACCTCTTTGAACTATACTCTTAGCCAATACGTTATTGATTGTGCGCTGATTTATCTAAAGAAACAACGGCGTAAACGCCATGTTTAAAAATGATTGCTCACATATTGAAAACGACGGGCCTATTTAATTTGCAGATACGCAAAAAGCTGCCATGCATCAATATGCACAGCATCATAATATATCGTTTATACAAAAAGCTAGTGCTAACTACAAAAGTAAATTTCAAGGAAATTGGCTACGATAAGTCAATGTGATCCAATACGAGACAGATCATCATACCTTCTTGATTTCTTGCCACGATAAGGTTCTATCCGTTCTGCTTGTTTGTCGCTTTCTTCTGAATCGTTGCCCAATTTCGTGAATCATCCTGCTCCATTGGAATGGATAGTTTCTGCAAACAGGTCGGAGACAACCTTTCTTCTTTCTTCGTTTCGAAGTATGAACCTTCATCTCTCAGTTAGCGAAAGCTGTCCATAACTCAGCTAGCAGTGGTCGTCAATATTGACACACATGCCGCTGTATTCGAGGCGAATCTACGCATAGTGCTGCAGTACCATAGTTAGAAGCATCAACGTTTATGGACTAAGCTGACCAGCCGTACGCCGATAACGTGAGACTGGACAGAGATGCAGAATAGCGCCAAGGATAAATATCTGGCACGATGTACTACCCGCATGAAACTGGTACGGCATTGTGCCCTCGGTGTTCATGATCGGTAGCGGCAGTAGATCGTACTGCATATAATATGCTCAAGGACTGGTCAGAGATGTCGATCGTGTGCGTTAGCTGCTCCATTGGTCCTGCGTCGAATCACAGCATTATGGGCCAGCGGATACTGATAGTGCTTGGCTGGTCAGTCAATAGCGGCAACTAAAGCCGATATTTGTTTCTTAGTTGAACATGTGCGACTCGGTATAAATGTGCACAGCAGTCAATGAGTAGGTATATGGCTGACCGGCTGTTTGTGTAGGTGTATGAATTCCTTCTGCTTATTGTGTTCCCCTATAGAGCATATATGACACGATATACCAACGGTGATCTATGGGCAGTTGCAGTTGGTCAGGGGGCGGGCGGGGGGGGGTCTTACAATACAAGGCGATTTGATATGGCAGTTTGTGTTTGTACTCTGATCTGATGTACTTCTGTTGTGTAAGAGGCAGAGCTACCGAATGACAGAACAAGCTACCAACCGCACGGCATCTGGATTACTTGGTAGTACTACGGTTGAGTGAAAGTCTTCAGCAGAAGGGAAAAAGGCAGGGCTAGTGCGAGGGTTTCGATGTATCTGTATGTGTACATGAAGCGAGTTCGAGACGTGTCCAACGTGACGGGATCAGCACCGGCTTAAGTTCAGCACCGCTGCTCTGACCTGCCTGCACTACTTAGGTAAGCGGGTACGCCATAGCAGTACTACGGTAACAAGCTAGTTGGTGACTGACTAACCGGCCAACGAGGGCCGACATAGCAGGGTCATCTAGGCAGGGCAAGGAGGCCTAGCGAGGCATTCAGTGTAGTAGTTCAAGACAGCTGAACTGATGTCGGCGGCTAGAGCGGGTGACTGAGAGGTTGAGCCCGGAAATACAGCTCCATTCGATCAGCCATCGTTTGCCTAAGTCTCTAAGTGAGCTGACGGTGAGAGGCCGCAGACGGGGCAGATCCGATGGATTGTGCTGTCGACCAACAATGGTTCTATTTGGGTTTACTTGTTTAAAACTGCTAAAACGAATCGTCTATACGCATGCCAATGATGTTCTCTAATATGGGAAAGAGATTTTGTGAAGCTTGTACTTATCGAGTAGACTCGTGTTCAGCCTCGTCGATATTGCTGATCAAGCATAGGTAAGCTCGAAGCGGGTAAAAATAGGGGCCCGCACAAGGGCGGACGCACGGTATACATATAGGCGCAGATTTGACGACAGACCAAAAATCAAAGGATCTCGTTGATGACAGTGAAGCTGCTCAGTTTCAACAGAGAAAAAATAACGCAATTATCAATGCAAGGCCTTTATCACGGGTTTATTTTGCTTACCGCAAGGGATTTTCTCTGTGTTCATGAGATCCGTAAAGCCAGATTAAGTAGGCTGTTGGCTGTCGATTACCTGTCACACCATGCTAAGCCTATATAATATTCAGGGGATTTTCCATTAGATATTCAAATATCGACGTCATTACTAAATCCGTATTATTTTCGCTCTTCAACCGCACCGATTTCGTTCATTGATCGCGCCATACTTAATGACTAAGTACAATTATTTATTGCACGATATGTACTCGTGATGGCGCTTCTCAAGTGCAAATTCTACTTGTACAGACCAGTTCTTTGGACGTATTTGTCGCTTGTTATAGTCTCAGCGTTACGGGTTTCCTTAGTCATAGCTGTCTGATTCATTCGTTTTGGCTACGT